CTATTTGAATTAATCAAGCTTAATAACCTCTGACTGTCCTAAACATGTCACTGTATGAAGGGCCAAAAAGGAGTTGGGTGGATCGATAGGCAAGTCACCTATACGCCAACACGGGAAAGTAAAGAATATCTTGCCAGCAGCATGAGCATACAATTCTCGATGAGCATTTCAAATGGTCCTATCTGCTTTGATCGATTCTCTTCATCGACTTTCTCTTTCGTTAATAACTCAGCTGCAAAACCTTTCCCTGTTGTATTTGACGTTGGACGCTAGATAAGAACCTCCTTTATCAAACTATGTGGTAGAATTAGCGCGAAATCTGTTTGCATAGCAGTGGTTATGAAAAGAGAAAGTCGATGAAGAGAATCGATCAAAGCAGATAGGACCATTTGAAATGTTCATCGAGAATTGGTCAAACAACAAGCCATCAAGCAGAAGGATGCCCCAATGAGTGTCGCCCTTTGTCCACGAAATGTTAATAACAGGGAGTTGTTTATTTCACTCTCCCCATCCAAATCGCTTCAATCGATGGTCTCTCCCAATCTCCACCATAGGTATAGATAATATATAATGAACAGGTCTCACCAAAATCTGCTTCGATGGATTTTGTCTCAAGCCATTAAAGTCGTCATCGTCTTCCTTCTCTTGCTCATGGATGCTTCTTTTACAGCACAATCTTCCCTGCACACATCATTAATTGCTCTTAGATTATCATTAAAAGGTCCATTCGAAACACAAGCACTGATTTTCTTTCGAATAGTTGTAGTCATTTATAAAAAAAAAACTAGCTAAAATTCTACAAAACATGCACAAGCACAGCACACTTCGTTCTGTTCCCATTCATCGTATTGATTAGAGAGGGTCTAGTATAAGAGAGGAGCAGACTGGCTGGTTTTGAGCCAAACGAACTGTCAAAGCCAGAGCCAATCGAGCAGCGCCTATTACGTGGGGCGACCCCGGCGTAGTGGTTAACATCCATACCTCTCAAACCAAAGTCATGAGTTCAAATCTCACCCCCGGACAAGTCACGAATGACCCAAGAGTGTTAAAGTGACTATAATGAAAAAAAAAAAAAAAAAAAAAAAAAAAAAAAAAACAATGTACCCCTCTAACCTCGAGTAAGCCGCGAGTAATCGGCCCAACTCCTACTAGACATAGAATTAAGTGAATTTTGTTACAAATAGTGAACAATGAATTATCGGCTCCGTAAAGCTAACGCGATTGAGCCTTCCAAATAAACAAAATGGATAAAAAAAAATAAAAAATAAAAAATAAATAAAAAAAAAAGCAGCGCCTATCTTGATTGCATTGGCAGTGTTGCTAGAAACCACCTAGGCATAGGTTGCCAAGGCAGTTTGTTTTGAATCTGCTCCTGCTGAAAAGTTATCGATTAACCCTGCTATCCGAGCATGGCTATTTCTGACACACAAGAAGTTAAATTTTGACATCCGTGGCTTGAAAACCGGTCGATCGACAGCACGGAGATTTTTGAAAATAGAAAATAACTTGCGATATGTCACTTTTAACCACGAGATAAATTTAACTCGGCAAATGGTTCACAGCCTTAATCCTAGAAATCTTCACCATCCAGAAGCCTGCTGTATTTGACAAACCTCTTCAGCAGTTCTATGTGGGTATTTTCTAAACAGAGATGACAATCATTGTCTGAAACCATTTTCGAATCAATGATGATACTTTCCGGTTTTCGTAAAAAAAAATTTAATTCTGTACCGGACATAAGTATGTATATCAAACCGTGATTTTATGTTTCTCTCCAAAAACGTCGCAGGAGCTGTAACTTTATCGGATCTCCACGTAATTTTCTGAAATGGCTGCTGGTGGGTTTGAATTTGTAAGAAGTTGAACCTGTTTAGTAAAACGCTTATTTTGGAGATGACTTTTAAAAAACTGGATTTTCCCCAGTAAAGTGTGCTTCATTTAGAAACCGGACGTACAACTTTATTTGTAGCTGCGCTCCTAGTGTTCGGAATAATTTAACAGAATGCTAAATTATGTTTAGAAAGTGCTCCTTTTTCCTTGCTTAAAATTTGTAAAGTTTTCAAAAAGTTGCCTCGACCAAAAATCCAACGTGTTCCGCTCCGAAAAGCACAAAAACGCGTTAAAAAAAAGGCAACGGCACACGGTCCCCGGTAAAATTAAGTTAGTATTTGTCGATAAATTCGATCGGAAACTGTATATGATCGGCAGGGAGCTAAAGGCAAGCTGAACAACATAGACTTTCGTCACAAAGAAGACTATGGACTCGAAGGTGCACAAGTAAGAGTGCCTGTAAAACGCATTCTACCGTTCATAAATGCACACAAAGGACCTGATAAGTTTTTGACATATTTGACAAGCTGCCACTACAGCTGGATGATGCTTTAGTAGTACCTTTAAAACGGGGTGGGTTTATCCAAAAAAGGCATTAATCCTCTCAAATGCTTCCAATTTCACCCAATCGAAAAAATGGCAGGTATCGAGTGAAAGTTGAAAAAGATTGGCAATGCTGCGGGATACTATAGCGCGAACCAGACTTTGGTACAAATTGGCCGCTAAAGCATGCTGAGGTACATACAGAGTGTGTCAAGAATAATAATGAGCATTTCAAGAAAAAAAACCCAATGGAATAATTCGATGTAATTTTTTGAAGAAAGTGCAATAAATAAGCTTCATTATGATTAGGGGCTGTTCATAAACTACGTAGACAGTTAAGAGGGGGGGGGGGTTGACAATTATCCACGGCCCATACAAATTAAAAAAAAAAATGTTTGGACAATTGTCTACGCAGGAGGAGGGGGGTCAAGAATCCCAAAAAAAAACTGTCTACGTAGTTTATGAACAGCCCCTTACGTAACATTTATTGTAGGTCAAACCAATCCTGAAATAGAGCTGATTTCTTACTTCCGGATTCCAAATGATAGACGTTCAGACGACAGTCAATTTAATCGATGCGTCGTCTATCCCTTCAATTGGTTAGATTTCCAGAATTTTGATGATTTTACAGTTAAAAGAGTAAAGCGATCGTTTAACCTGATATGTAATATTGGAGCAGTTCCAGGCCAAATAGCGAAAAATAATCAAATTTTAGATTTTGCCTCATAAAATTCCATGAAGCTTCGCTATGGGCAATGAGCCAAGTTTGTGTAGAATTCTGCCATTTTGACTTTCACCTAATTTTTCATTTTTTATTTGAGACAAAGTTGTAGGAAAAGGAAACTTCAGTAACATAAAGAAGTACATTTGTATGATTTTTAAACAATGTTTATTTGAAAACTATTAAAAATTCATTTCTGAAATGGTCGCAACGGACACATCAAAAGTAACAAAAATCGTAGAGCATAAACATTTAGTACAAATTTTCATACCTTTTACGATGTTTTTATTTTTAATTCTACTACTATTGTATCACTTTCACTTTCACTATTTCACTTTCACTAATTTACTTTCACTAATTCGCATTCACGAATTCACTTTCACTAATTCACTTTCACTCATTTACTTTCACTAATACGCATTCACGAATTCACTTTCACTAATTCACTTTCACTATCACTTTAAACTATAACAGATACGTATTTCATTTACTACTTGCAAACTTCTTCAGTGTCTAGTCATTGACTTAGACACTAGACTAGACAAGACTGGACTAGACACTGAAGAAGTTTGCAAGTAGTAAACGAAATACGTATCTGTTATAGTTTAAAGTGATAGTGAAAGTAAAAAAAGTAAAAGTAAATTAGTGAAAGTGAATTAGTGAAAGTGAAAGTGATACAATAGTAGTAGAATTAAAAGGAAAAACATCGTAAAAAGGTTTACAATTATTCTACTAAAACGCCCATCAATCAAATTGTCTAAACAATTAAATTTCCAGATTAATTACAAGTCCGGCATTTGTTGCATTACGGTATGCCTAAAACTAACTTTTTGCGTGGCCTGGCTGATTGGCCAAAATTAAAGGAAATCTGAAATGATTGCTTCAAAATGAGTGAAATAAATAAAACAACAAAGCTATTTATCCCCTAGAGTAATAACCTTAAAATGTAGGCCCCCAGTTTGATTACAATATTACTGTTCTAAATCATCCCCCTCTCCGTTCAAACAAAAACAGAAAGCTTTTCTCCCTAATCTTTCGCGCGACTCAACGCTCCAATTTGTCACAAGCCACACGGTAAAAACTTAAATCACCTCATGGTCGCGTACCACACTAATCAACTACTTCCATCCTTCCTCGTTAGGGGAGCTTAGCTAATCTCAAGCAAGTCCGGCGCAAAACCCCGTTTGTTCTGCCGCGAAAGGTGGTGAAATTACTTAACATATAAAAAATATTCAGTTCATAAATAACATCACCCAAAGTGACCATCAAGCGGACTAGGCAAGATCTAATGCACCATCCATGGTCCGTCCGTCCGTCCTGGCGTAAACTACGCTCTCGGGATAAGCAAAGCAATTAAACTATACGAGAAATGCATAACTAATCTCCTTTTTTTCCTCCCTCGATCCCCGGCTTCATTGCCGTCACGTCGTTCTTACCTAATGGTGGCCAAGGGATCGGAACCAATGAGGGAATAATGGAATAAACCAGGGTAGCTATTTTCTACACGGGGCGGAATCCACGGGGACATAAAAAATGGTCAGAAATCAAGAGAAAACGGAACACGAGCTCGGGAAAACGACCGGCAAACTGGCTCGGAAAATTGGATTTTATGATTTAATGTTCACAACACGACTATAATACGGGAAAGACTAATTGTGTTTTATAGTTGTTGGTCATAGAAATAAGTTTGAGCCGTTTTTCACTCTCCTTCCTTCCTCTGCTTAGCTACCGAGGGTAGTTTTGTGTACACGAATAGAAAGGATTGTTTTTTTTTTTTCATCGTAGAATTAGTTGTAGATGTATGTTAGATGAATTTCCTCCAATTGCCTGTTAAATATCGAACCTGAATACTAATCGCATTATCTATTTATATTCTTCCATTCTGTTTTCTCATTTCTCCTCGCAGGGGTTACAATGGGATACGCAGAAAATAGCTACGCAAATTCAAACAACGGAGGGAGTGTCAATTCGCAGGATTCGATCTGGCAGCTGAAGATGTCGGCGGCGCAGGCTGCGGCCGCTGCCAACACTGGTACTCTGATCTCTGCCCAGCACTACGCAGAACGACCTCCACCTGTGACGGCCACCACCAGCAGCGCGGCGGGAATGTCCTACGGGTACGATCCGTTGACGCATCCGGCCTACGGTACGGTCGAAGATTATGCCAGCTATCCACATCTGGCGACGACGCCTAGTCAACACGGTGCAGAGGATGAGTACCAGCACACGCTACGTCAGAGTCAGAATCCCTCGCGGCAGGAGTATTGCAGCGATTCCTACGCATCTGTACATAAACCGAAGAAGCGATTAGACCAACCCCATCTAGGTAGGTGGTGTATTGAAAGTTAAAATTAATCAATAGCAATAGTTTTACTTTTAAAATTTGGGAACAGAACATCAAAAATTTGCAATTAGTTTGATTGATATAAGAGGAAACATATCACAAAATCTATGGGACCATAACTAAGTGACAGCTAAGTCAGTTGTTGCCATATCTAAAGAATAGCAAAAATCACAGCAAATTATTATCCCATTTTGCTATTATATCTCACCAAGCTATTGGCAGGGGTAATGGCCCTAATGTTGGCCTATGGATCTAAGATTGGGCCCATCGCTAAAAATCTGCTATTTATCAATTTTATCTAGATGAACGCGTCATTGGGATGGTACTAATGAATATTTTTGGTCGCTATTGAAAATTTAGTTGATTGCAGAATTTATGTATGGGCCCAAATTAGGGGTATTTAGGCCGACATTACATCCATTTCCCCTATGTTGTTCAAATTAATCAATTTAATTACAAATTAATAGATTATTCTGTTATCAGACCAAAATAAGCTCTTGAACTCATGATATCAAAATAACGGCGCCGGTGGTGTAGTGGTAAGCGTGATTACCTCTCACCCCAGCAGGCCTGGGTTCAATCCCAGTCGGCGCCGCCGGGATGTTCTGAGGCATAACATCCCTGATCACGCCTTCCTTCGGATGGGAAGTAAAGCAGTTGGTCCCCGGTTCATGAGTTGATGGGTCGATAGGTAGGGTCCAGGTGTGGGAGCTGCCTTCCTGGCACGTCGGTAGCATTTTTTGCTCAGCACGGAAAACAAGATCGACGGAAAAAACACACCATAGGAAAAAAAAATGATATCAAAATATCATAACAATGGCAAATTATGCTCTGAATAAGCTATTAACTTGTTATAGCGTACAGCTTATCCGGGTAATCATCCGGGTAACATCTAGAGATAAATTGATTGAGGCTGGTATTCTCTCAACTGAGCTTTTGGAGCTTCGTGTCCAGAGCCATTTTACACCATCCTGGTAAAATGGATGGGTAGATGGACTAATTACCCGAGTAAGCTGTGCGTTATAACAAGTCTGAAGTCTTTCTGTTCTAGAAGGATTGACTGAATTGAGTTATAGGGGAAAAGTTCTCTTCGGCAATACCTTAACCTATTATCGTCAGGGGGTAAACAACGTCCTTGAGAGCTCAATTTTTGCATGTGGATACATTGTGTTTCAGAGCAACTATTGGCCAAATTTGAGTGCTCTAGGACTTTGTTTACCCCCCTGACGATAATAGGTTAAGGTATTGCCGAAGCCAACTTTTCCCCTATTTTATTTTGAAAAGAAGCATGGACAATGCACCAAAATAAGATTGTATAAGATAATTTAACACTTGCACTTTTATTAGAAATTTATTAGCGTCACACACATATGACGTATTTGTGTGTATAAATTTATTTACTGCTTTCTATTCTATCCATTCCAATCGACAGAATCGTCCAAAACGTTTTTACAACGCTCCAAACTTCTCAAGTGAGTGAGCCTATTGTAAGCAGACCCTTTTTCTTCGGCAACCTTTCCATTTAAACTGCGTGTTAACCAGCTGGTCTATTATTGGAAATTCGAAATCAGTTGCGTTTTATAGTACGTTTATTTAATTAGAAAAAACACCTGATATAATAGGTTTGTTCATTCGAAAAAAAAATAATCAGTTTGATGCTGAAAGACTAAGGAATCGTTTAAATACATTCACCGAAGTGTTTTGGTGAGAAAATACAGCGAAATTAAAGTTTCAATGTTTGAAGCCGAAGCCATAATTTCGGGTAATTTATCAATTGTTGCACGGCTCTCTTTGTTATTTCGCGTTTTTACGAGGTTGACAACGTTTTTGAAGCGGCACCGGTGGTGTAGTGGTAAGCGTGATTGCCTCTCACCCCAAAAGACCTGGGTTCTCTGATCACGAAAGGGAAGTAACGCCGGTGGTCCCCGGTTCATGAGTTGATGGGTCGATAGGTATGGCACTGGCGTGCACAAGGTGGGGCAAGGTGGGGCAATTTCCCCCTCTTTTATAAATAAGATTTTTATTTTCAAATTTTCAAAATTAGAATATAAAATAACTTGATTTCTTGATAACTTGGTTTGAAGGTAAAATAACTTCATTTCATAATATAAGGGCACTGATAACCTTTTATTGCGTCAATTTCTTTGGGATGGTACCTGAAAATTGCACCACAAAGCTACAACTTTTGCAGTAAATGACCAATTTCTACGTACTCGCAACGGTAATAGTAAAACGTAACTACAACAGCATATAAGGACAAACAAAACCTTGAAATACTCAAAAATAACTGTAACGATGCCTGCAAAATATACAAAAACGTACTGCACAAAATTTCAGAAAGGTAACTGAATAAAAGATGATACCAGTACCTTGAAGAATATATTTTCTTTGGTTCATATTTCAAAACCAGGAAAGGTATCGACGAAGAACTGGACCACCAAAAACAGCTATGATTGCTGCTAGGTGAGGCAAAGCGGTTACAAAATCGCTATATAATGGAACGATTCATCGATATTGTGCGCATACTTTGCAAAGGTGGTCGACCACTTCGTGGACATTCGGAAGGTGCGGAAAGTGTGCCACCCAGTTGGTGGCTAACTACGATCCATTCCATTGGCTGTCTAAAAGCGGTTTGCATTGAAGAAAAATATATAAAAAAAAATAAATAAAATAAGCTAAATTGAACAGTAGGGAAACAGTGGTGGGTGGACAGCACCATCCACCACGCACTTTGGAGTACTCCCCATCCCCAGATTGAATGCACCATAGAAAAAAACTTCCCCTCCTTAAAAAGATTCCTGTGCACGCTAGTGGGTATGGGAGCTGCCTCCCTGGCGTCGGTAGCATTGGTGCTCTGTTCGCAAAACAAGATCGACGGAAAACAAATCAAGGAAAAAAATATACATGTTCATTTCTATGCTTAGCCTAAGCTGTTTCCCCTAAATAATTAAAATTTCCAATTGTTTGTATTTTCCAGATTCATCATCATATCACGACGTAAGTGGACTACCTGATCCCTACCTAGAGCACCATCAGCTACACCATCATCAGGACCAGGAGGATAGCAAATCACTCCTTCAGCAGCAGCACCAGCAGCAGTTACAAGTCCAACAACAGCAGCAGCAGCAACAGCAGCAGCAACAGCAAATGTCTCTTAACTACGATGAAAACATGGAAAGTGGCTACTCGACACCCAACTCGCGGAATCGACGCGTGATACGAGAGATCATTGTCTGAGAGCAGCCTAGGGTACGTTTCGCTAACGGAACGTGCCTGTGAATCGTCTCCACAACTCCACCTTGAGCTATAGTAGGAAGAAGAAGAAAAATACCTTGCAAGACAAGCTAAGGCCCCTCCCCGCAGACTTGAAAAATGAACACTTTTTGCTATTAGGATAGGACGCGAAACAAGCAAAAACCAAACCAACCAACCAACCGTGGTGTATACTTAAGAATTTAAACGAGAGCGGCATTCGCGGCCCGCACGCTAGGAAAATTATTTTAGCGAAAAAGTAATCGAAAACTTGTGGGGGGTGGCTCCATTGTCCAGGTATGCTCGCAGAACAAATGGCGTGGCTAGTTCCGAAAGGGATGGACTTGTGTTATTGATAATGCAGAGCGCAGTTGGTAGTGCAGTGAAGTGCCCTTAGGAAATAAGCATGGCTATGGTTCAATTACGGTAATGTACGCAGATTGATCGGTAGTGAAGTGCCCTTAGGAAATAAGCATGGCTATGGTTCAATTACGGTAATGTACGCAGATTGATCGGTTATAATTATCCTGCCAAACGAAACTCGAAAGGTACTTCTACTCCAATCGAACTGAAAATATTACAATCATAGTATTGCATTGGCATACTGAATGCAGAGAATAGAATTTTTAACCCTCTTTACAACAAACACTATGGTCTGGAAAATTCTTCACTGTTGCATCTATCGTCTCGTCACATATTTTTCTTTTGTGGTGAAATGGAATATTTACATGAAAAAAGTCACTTTAAAAAGGGAGCATTCTCACACCAACAGTTGTCTTAGCGTTCAGTTGATAGCGATGATCCCAATTTTTACTAATTAACTATACTTCTGTACCGTAGAACGGGGCGCAGTTATTAAGTTAAGTTGATCACCACACCATTCAATTTTCGAAACTCAACATCCTTACTTATGATATTATTACGAGATAATTAGTTTAGTATTTCATATGATATTTTGTGAAAGTGATGAAATATGCAACTTTTAACCTAAAAATCATCATTTTTTCTTATGCTGTGCTCGGCGAAATTACCTGCATGATCAACTTTTCCCCAGAATTTAAAATTTGCATCTTGAATCTAATTTTAATTCTAATAAATAAACTAAACATGCTATTCATAAACTCAATTCATACATTGGGAAAGCATATGCTAATACAGGTTTTAGAGGTATTAGTTTGGGTGTCATACATATGGTTGGAAAATATTCAGGTTTATAGGTAAAAGGTGATCAGCTTCCTCCCGTTTTACGGTTCGTCATTTACCTTTCCAACGATGCATCCATTCTTGCACACATGTCATCGAATCAATACCACTCAATGACGAATTCAATCGAAAGCTTTGTGCGCAAGTTAATTATTATTCCATATAATCCTGAGGCGATCGGAAATACACATGATCTCGCGAGTGCATGACTACGATATGGAATCGAAAATTACAGCCTCGCTTGGCAATAAAATACACTCCAGCAACGACGACACAATTGCCATGTCCATCCCCGCCGTTTGTTCCGCAAGAATATGTAACATTTCACGCGTTTATATTTTTAATTAAATTGTATTATTATATAAAAATACGTGCCCTTAAACGAAATATATTTAATTGTGAATAATGACAAGCGAGTGAGAAGCAATGCATGGGTGCCCCTCCGAAAAGGGTGGGACAGAGCAAAATGCATATTGTACGGGGAGGCTGTGTGAAAAAGAGAATGAGAGTGAGAAAGCGTACAAGTGTAAGCCGCACGTGGAAAGCAGAAACGCATGGAAAATATTTTATATACATAATTAACGGTATTATAAATATTTGCACAAAACCAGAACAAAAAAACTGTAAACCCAGTCACTGCAAATGGGAGAGAAACACACGTAAATAGATATATCAATTTTCGAGAAGTACGATTAACTTTTACACGCAGCAGATGAGGGGTCAAAATAAACAGGAGATTATTTTAAAATTAACAACCGATCGGAAGCGGAGAGGCGCAATGTATGAAAATCGAATTTACCTAGGGTCAAGCAAATGAAAATTTATCGCAACTAAATGACATAACCGTGTTTTATCTCGAGAAATTATTTTAAATTGAAGTAACAATGCAAAAACAAACAGTGTTTAAATACATTACATTGAACGGGGGAAACTGTTGAGATAAACGCCGGAAGCCGGGAGCATCACTGTTTCTCTGTAAATGTGAATCGTCGTGTGTGTGATAAAACCAAACATTAAAAAAGGATAACATTTGTGAATCTAACTAGCCACCATGCAGAAGAGTTGGTTGTTGCCATCGTAACGGCGTCATGTCAGTTTGTTCGCCTACTATTGCTGCAATTTATGGTACTTATTTAGCAATACGCGGTTTTTAAATACTCATCTCGTTAGGTTTTTTATTTATTATTCGGTGTCATTTTGATAGTTTTTTAGTTCTCGATGTCACGTGATAACTGTGTTATTTTTATAATATTTTACCGTAAAACAGTACGCTTTTGAATGTATTATTTCAATTTAAAACCACAGCTAACCACTTACATTAAAAGTGATTGAACTTTCCCACAGAAAAATTTAATTGGTTATGAGACCCACAAGTAAAATTTCGCGAGCTTTTCCAGGAAAACTTCTCGAATATGAGGAAAATCAAAAGAGGTTTCTTTTAGTCTATTAGTAAAATTTTCGTCGAATTTCTTCATGTTCCTGAAGCTTTCCATGTAAATCCACTTCTTGCACAATGAGTCGAATTCAACTCAATTTTGAGTCGACACGGTCCGAAATGGCGGATTAATCAGCTTTCATGTACATCGGGTTTTTCTTCGCCCAAAAATTTAGATCGGTTCAATTTAAAATATTCTGTCGGCGGAAATTTGAATTATTTATTTTTATCATAATTTATAAATAATAGGTTATGGCGCTTAAGACACCAAAATCTCCCCATAAAAAATGCACCAAAAATTTCCTCCGAAAGAATATTTTAAAACCAACCGATTTAAGAATATTGGCACCCACCCAAACTAAAATTTGGTGATAAAAAATCGGATGTAGGTACATGGAAATTGATTAATCCGCCACTTCGGACACGGCGTGTCTCATCATCCGTATGCGTGGTTTGTGTACGAGGAAGCGTTCATTCCATTGTACACGACCAATGAGAGTCACTCAAAATCGAGTCGGATGTGATTCAAAATTGCAAATGTGGGGGGGAGGCAGTTGTTACTCAGTGCACGGCCAACTATAACAACTCAGCGACTGAATTCAATTGCTTCAGAGAATTTTCTTTTCATACGAAATGTACTCATATTTGGAAAAAAAAAACTGCTGTTACTCATAGCTAATGAGTTCAACTAATTTACTTACAAAATGGGTTACTCATTGAATGAGTAAAATCATACTCGATTCACCTTACACACTTAATTTGAATAGTCATGGTCTCAAAAGCCGATTGGTTGCTGGAACTCAGTAAGACATATTTCCGAGACTCAGCTCACAAATTAGAATTTGCTAAAATCTCAGCTAACATGCTAATATTTTTCCGTGATATCAACTAAAGCAAATGCCGAATTGATTGGCTGTTAGAAATCTTACCGAGCTAGATTGAGTGTGTAACAATCAACTCGAAATTCAGGAAAATCGATGAATATTTTACTCAGTTTACTAGTATGCTCATAGACTGAGTAAAATATTATTTGATTTTCATGAAATTCGAGCCAATTTTTGGCGAAAACGTAAACGAAACTAACTCAGAGAGTGAGTTACTTTTACTCAGTTGTGAGTCATTTGGAGATGAACTAGCCAGTGGCTAAAAATCTCCCTAATAAAGACTAAAAAAAGAAAAAGTTGTGAGTCGCTTTTACTCATCCATACTCACTCACACACACCGAACGTTTAGCTGTTGAGATTTCGGTAAATTTTCACATTAATCTGTGCAATAATCTTAGTGTGTTAGGATCCATTTCTAAAAGCGTAGATCACTCAGCGGATGAGTAACTTACGCTTTTAGAAATTTCTCCATACAAAAGAGTAAAATTACTCACTCTCTGAAATAGATTCGTCTTTAGTTCAGTGTGTTCAACCCGCTTTTAACAATTTTGATTCGAATTTGACACAGTTCTGAGCTACTATCATCGGCCGCGTGCATGGTTGGATGAACGCAAACGCGTGGTTTGTGTACGAGGAAGCGTTCCTTCTGCTTTAGTTGTTGTTCATGGACGATGAGATCCACTCTAAATTGAGCTGGATTCAACTCAATTAAGAAATAAAATTTGTGTAAAATTTTCAGAGATTTTTCAAGAAAAACGTCTCAAATATATATGAGGAAAATCGACAACAATTTTTCTCCGTCTTAGCGTATACTGATAGACTGAGTGAACCTGTCTCGATTTTCCTCATATTCGAGAAGTTTTTCCTGGAAATGCTTGGAAAAATTGTCTCATTTTGTGAGCAAATCCACTTTTCAAAAATCAGTCGAATTCAACTCCATTTCTAATTTCATTCAGCGCAAGAATAACCAACGCTTTTTGAAATTTCTCCATACGAATATGAGTTAAAGTGACTCACTCTCTGAAAAAATTCGTTTCCAGTGTGCACTCGAATGCGACGCTTTTTGCACGGCCGATGAAAATAGCTCAAAAGTCAATATTATTTCACCAATTATATATATTGTTAAAAACGCGGCTACTAAACACTTTAAACGTAAGTTTTTTTTACAGCAAAAACTTTTTATTCAGTTTTGAGTAAACGCACTTTTTACTAAAATAAATAAAATCTTACACTTTTGAAATACATTCAACGGCCGTGGGTAAAAAAAATTATATTTCAAAAATCAAGAAGTGTATCACTTAAAAATTAAAACAGTTTACGTTCAGTTTTACCGAAAATATGAGAAATTCATTCATTATTGAGCTTTCTCAGCAGCCGCGTGGTTAGTAGGTGTTTACCAAGATGAGTCTCAAACACGGTAAAGTTGAAAATTGTAGTGGTGTAAGAACGATTGTCAAATTAATATGTCATATCGGGCCTGATTCGTAAATAGACAATTTTGGGGACCTGAACAGAGAAAAGATGCTCAAGTTTATCAAACACAGCAAAAAATAGGTGTGCTCTGGCCAGATGTAATTCATGTCGATGTATCAAATATTGATATAACAGCAAAAAACCTGATGTAAATTGTAAATGGATGTAAATTTGTTCGCAAAAAATGTATACATCGTAAAACGTAACATGACATAACTTATTGGGTGCAGCAGTTTGTCGAAGTCTGACTTCTTGAAGAAAGAGTTCTAAAGTGCGAAGTGCCCAAGATCTGAAGGATTCTGACACTAAATTTTTTTTAACGTTTTTTTTAATTTTTCTTAACCTTGCAATATTTAACAATTTTTCAAGACCAAAATCTCATATTTTCAGATATACAGTAATGACCCGATTTTGTCAGCGCGTCCGAGCATCTGACTTTTATCTTT